ATTATGAAAGAGCCTACAAGATAGCTGCTTTTTAATCACTCACATACAGAAGTTACATTATATTTATTAAGCACTAGCGACTTTGCTTGGGTGTGTCCCTAACTCCCTAGGTCCGTTTTTTTTTTGAACCGAACCTTAATTATTTTTCTAAAATAAAAGTAGCCTAAGTTACTCCTTATAACATCAGCTATCTGCCAGTGAAAGTCCCGTCAAAATCAGTCCAGTATTTCGGAGATTAGCTGAAACAAACAAACAAACAACATTTTTAAAAGTTGGTGTTTTTATTATAAGTACCGTATATACTTTCATATGCATTTAGTAAGAAGCTGTTATTTTGACCTTACAGATAGACACTTCTATTTTATTTATCTGTATAGATTATCTATATAGATCGTTATGTAGTAGCCAGTATGTAGTAGCTATATGGAACATGGTACAAACGTGGTATGGTTTTTATTATACGATGCAAGTCGTTTGTAATAACATCACCTGTTTTAGGCAACTTCCTGTTTATACAAAACACCTTTTTATACTGTAGTTATGTCGTGTACGTACGTAAGTTTTTTTCTTTGAAAGTAAAATTATACTTCATGATTCGTACAAATTTATTTAATAATAATTAGAGACCGGATTATATGCAACATAAAAAACTTGTTATATATGCATGCAAATATTCATGAAAAATGCTTGAAATATGCACGAAAATTGGCAGAATATGCAAAATAAATGATAAATTTTAGGAGCACAAACAAAGAAGAAGAGTAAGTTTTCATTTTTTTTTATTTCAAAATCAGCATAGAATTAGTAAATTATCCTTTGATAGGCGATAATAGGTACAGTAACATGACATTAAAATTTATTTAAAATTTTACGAATCAAGTATTGTTCCAAATGTTCAGTGATAAGATTATGTCTTCGATCATTTATAATCCATACGTAATATTATAAATGTGAAAGTGTGTTTGTTTGTTTATTTGTCCCGCTTTCACGTCGAAACGGAGTTACGGATTGGCGTAATTTTTTGTGTGGAGATATTGGGAGGGCTGGAGAGTGACATAGGCTACTTTTTACCGCGGAAGATTATCTCTTTCCCACGGGAAAACACGTTATAATACAACCCAAAAAAATATTTATGATCAGAATAACTTGAAACTTGGTATATATGTTGTTCAATAAAATTAAATAAATACATGTTTTAGCATTTTTAGAAATTCATCCTGTAAGGAAGTAAAATAGGGCATGAATTTTTGTATGAAAATACCTTGACCATGACAAAATAATAGCCCTTACATTTTGTGACTATTTTTAGTAGGATTCGCGATATTGTCACTTTTAGCGCATTTCGGAACGCAGGGTCAGTGCACTGCACTCAGAAAAATATTGTTAAATGTACCGATAATATGCACTAACTACTTAACTAGATCTTAGGTAAAATATACTATTGCCGCTGAGGATGGCTTAAATATGTAAATGCATATAATCCAGTCTCTAATAATAATTATTATCAGACTATTATATCATTATTGTGAAAGTTTGTATGTTTGTTACTACTTCACCTTGACACAGATTTGCATTTATTCTCCAGCATTTGGGAAAGCAAAGGAAGATTGTTATATAGGATATTCCCAAGGAGGGTTGATGTCAGGCAGGCGGTCGGTCGTAAAACTTTTGCCAAATCCTATCATTAGTACTAGCTAGTTTATAGTAAGTTATTATAACTAGTCGATGGTTAAAAGTTTACATTTATTCTTACTTTTTATTTATTTTTTCATAGAATATAACTGTATAAGTACAAGTTTTTGAAGTCTGGTAGGTACAGGAAAAATACATTTTTAAAAATATAATTTACAGGGTGTTTGCTCGTCTACAGTGAGGATGTTAAATGTGATACTAGGTAGTTATATGAAAGCGGTTTCATTATGGGTAAAAAGAAAAGTTAATTTTCTCTTCTGGAATATTTAATCTTACTTAAACTATTATGTACGGATATTGCCATGGGTAGAAAATAAATTCGCATATATTATTTTAATGATGAACCACCGTGAAAGTTGAATTAGAATACTAATGACCTCACAGCACTAGCATTGTTCCAACTTTGTCGATTATTTGCAAATATATGAGTTAGTTCTGAAACTTAGGGGTTTTTTTTAATTTAAAGAATTATCTATGTTATGTATAGATTATTCATAAAATGGTCCAAACAATCTAATTTCAAAAGAAATGCGTTCTTTTGGGTCAAAATGAACAAAAAGCAATAATACGTTAACAAAATGCCTGATAATCCTATTGCTTTATATATATTTTAGTAATAGTGTGTTATTCTCCATATTTTACCTTATATGACATGACTTTAAGAATAAACTGGGTCAAAATGAATAACGTATTTATAAATTGTTTTGGCTACTAAGACTTGTGTAGATATAAGTATTGTGGAACTTCTGTCAATTTTACTTCTCTAGTTCTAGTAGGTCAAACTATCGAATGATATCTCATTAATTTAGCTTAATTATATGATCTTTAAATATTAATTATCAACTATACATTGTGTATTCATCAAGATATTGTTATTGTATATGATCCAAGTCCTTTTATGTATCTACATTTAAATTATAAATAACTAGGAAAACAAGTACTCATTTATTCCACGGGAACCGTGCGTTTTTCCAGGATATAAAAAGCCTATGAGCTATGCCAGACTATAATCTATCTCTGTGCCAAATTTCATCCAGATCCGTTCAGTCGTTCTAGCGTGATTAACAAACATCCATCCAAAATCCAAACATAATTTTAGTAAGATTGTCTTTATCAACCGACTTCAAAAAGGAGGAGGTTCTCAATTCGACTGTATGTTTTTTTTTTTTTTATGTTTGTTACCTCAGAACTCCGTCATTTATTAACCGATTTGGAAAATTTTTGTTTTGTTTGAAAGGGTATACTTCCAGATTGGTCCCATTTAAATTTCAAAAAAAAATACCACTCCTAAGGGTGGAAAAACAACTAATGATGAATTTAACCTACTTCTAATTGTCATATTGACTTGAAACTTTGCAAGTATTTCTATTTCCGTTGATAGTACAGTGGTTCGGTGTTGTTGACCTGATCTGATGGCAAGGCCAGAAGGTGGATAGGTGGAACTCTTCAACGGTTAATAGTAGATACTTTGAGTTTGGGCTTATTTTGTTTGATTTGACAAGCCTAACACGTTAGAATTCTTACTGTGCTACTACTGTCTACACTAAAAAGGGAAAAATAAAAACTTTTTAACAAAAAAATAAAAACCGACTTCAAACAAAAGCCCTAAAAAGTAAAAAAATACTGATTGGTAGTTTTCATTTACTATACATACCTAATCAAATATTTTCGAAGTCGGTGTGCTTTGGCTAAGTAATTAAAGCCTACCTATTAAATACATACCTAATCAAATATTTTCGAAATCGGTGCCAGCCCATACAAAGCAAAGCACACCGACTTCGTAAATATTTGATTAGGTATGTATAGTAAATGAAAACTACCAATCAGTAATTTTTTACTTTTTAGGGCTTTTGTTTGAAGTCGGTTTTTATTTTTTTGTTAAAAAGTTTTTATATATAATACTTTCATTTCCTATTTACCCTCTTATCGGATGAATTTTGAATAATTAATTGTATTGAAGAGCATTTATACCAAGTTGCAAGTAATTCTGATCATAAATATTTTTTTGGATTGTATTATAACGTGTTTTCCCGTGGGAAAGAGATAATCTCCCGCGATAAAAAGTATACGCAAGCTAATGCAAGCCTATGTCACTCTCCAGCCCTCGAACTATTTCCACACAAAAAATCACGCCAATTTGCCAGGCCGTTTTGAAGTGAAAGAACGACGAACAAACAAACACACTGTCACATTTATTAATTAATTAATTATGTATGGATATGTGTCTTTATTATTATAGATAAAACAAAAAATAAGGTTTTTTGTTTCTTATAGCCATTTTAATGTAATATCAAAATGGTCAATTACTATCCCAGTGGTTTTGAAATTTTTAACTGGAATCTCATACTAATTAGGTTACTCGACATTCATAGGAACATGACGTGATAAACGTGTAATGTAACTAATACTAATTTAGTTATCTAGGTCCCTAGACTAAATGCTAGTATTTCATGAATTCTTCTCACATCCAGACGAGGATTTAATTGAAATTTATTAAGTCCCCGACATGAGCTTAACAAGATTTACTATGCCGCTGCTAACTGTCAAAACTATAATGTATAACTATAAATATGTATATTAGACCAGGGCTGAAGACTTTAAAAATGTTAAAAAGCGAAAATGTGAAATGGTTTTTTGTTTCAAAAATTATCGACCCTGGTCTATATATGCTATAGGTGCACAAAATATTTATGTGGTCCATTTTTAAGTTATCACTCATTTATTTTGGAAGTAGCGGCTCACCCTCGCTACACTGGGGTCGCCTAGTCACGTTTGAAAGTTTAGTATAGATTTCTTAGAGATGAGATATTTTCCCGCAATAAAAAGTATCCTATATATATATCCCGGACAGATTTTAATAAAATGTCGCTTAGCTTATCAGCCATCGTCATCCGAATTTTCATCAAAATCTGTCCAGTGGTTTTCTCTTGATGCGTTTCTAGATAAACAGAGGGACAGACAAAAATTCTCAAAACTATAGATTCGGCGTCTGTATCATATAATTAATATTGACTATTTCAACAATAAGATTTTCCAAAAAAAAATATTTAATGTGCAGATTCGACTCAGCATTTTATTATATGTGTAGATGACACAAACACGATAAATGAAACACGATGGATGTTATTAGTTTGACATAGTTTTGTGCGTTTGTTGCATCGTAGTTACGAAACGAATAGACCGATTTTAATACTTAATTTAACTTTAAACCCATTGGTTTTCCGTGTTACAAACCAAATCTTGTAAAACATCCCTCACATTTATAACCTCAACAAGGTGTCTGATGAGATGATTTGTCATTGTTACAGGTGATGCTGGGCGGGGCGGTAGGCGAGGTGTCGCCGGGTGGCGAGGACCTGCACCTCACCGTCACCGTGGTGCGGGACGAGCATGGTTACGGGATGAAGGTGTCAGGTAATACTCGAATCCTATATAATAAATCCCATAATTTTCCCATTACCTTTTTATAAAATCTATTATTGTAATATATGCTATAGTTTAAGGTATTCGTGTAGCAACAAAGTGTTTGGTATTTCATATTTAATTACAATATTCGTTCGCAATTCTAATATTTACATTCCCTCTAAATTACATAAGTTTCTTATAAAATCTTCGCGATAATTATCGATTTGCATTTTTAGCAATGCAATACTGCCTTATAAGAAGCTAAATTGCCAAGATCCGACCACAGCACCGGCTACGCTAACTATTTGCATATTTGCGAAAGAATCAATCGCGGGGGCGTAGCGTGTACCTGTGACCGGACCGGATTGCAACTGATCTGGTTGACCCTATTAGGAATTTGACTTTTGATCGTGTACATTCCATAAGATTTTTAATATACATACTAGAAACCCGAGTAGATCTTAAAAATCGTCTGTACGCCGTCTTAATGACGAGCTATTATGATATGTACTATCTTACTTCTTTTTGATTAAAGTTAATATAATACTTTCTTAGATTTACGCGAATATATGATATTTTAAATAAAACTATCTTTTCAGATTATTTCTGTCTGTAACAAGTACCTACATAACGCCTTTGAGACGTCTACAACCCTATTCTCTCCCGTGACCATGATTGCTGTAAAGCATTCGAAACGACCCGAACCAAAAATCAAAATGAATCCGCAAAATAATCCGAGAAGATAGTTTTATTTAGAGTTAATATGTTGCTAAATTATAGAGGTCACATCAAATGACTAACATAATATAACAAAATCAGTTAACACACTATATTTTTTGGTGAATATTATTGTATTCAGCCCCTTTTTTTTGTTAATGTCCCACTGCTGGGTACGGGCCTCCCTTCAATACGAGGGGAATCGGGCCGTAGTCCACCACGCTGGCCGAGTGCAAGTTGGCGGACTTCACATGTCTTTCGAAAACTTGCTAGGTTCTGTCGGACATGCAGGTTTCCTCACGATGTTTTCCTTCACCGTTAAGACAAGTGGTAATCATGTTGGAAAATGATTCGCACATGAAAATATCAGAGGTGCGAGACCCGGGATTTGAACTTGCTTCACTCGGTTTTCCAAGCGAACACGTTACCACTGGGCTACCACTGCCTTTTTAAATAATAGAATATTATTAGATATTTATTATTTGGTAGAAATTTTTAGATGTTAAGAATTAGATTATATGTATTTAAATACATATCAGACTATGTATATCAGTTATCAATAGTATAAAATACTTATTAAATGAAACTATCCTTTTCGGATTTTGCCGCGGTTTTTTTGAGACGTCTAAAACGATGTCGGAAACAAAAGTATAAAATAAAACCGATAATTTCATTTAAAATGTCTAATATTCGCGTAAATCCATAAAAGTATGTTGTAAAAGTAATGTCTACTATATAATTGTTTTCCAGGTGACAACCCAGTATACGTGCAGTCAGTAAAGGAGCACGGTGCCGCGTGGCGTGCGGGCCTGCGCGCCGGCGACCGTATACTGAAGGTCGACTCCGTGCCCGTACAGTTCCACACTCATCAACAAGTAGTACACATGATACGAGGTGAGATGACTGTACGATTTATCCTTGCTTCGCTCGGTTGTCTCTACGTGCCTAATAGTAACCTATGTGCTATGCACTCCAAGTCATAGTTTTTTGGTGTTGATCTAAATCTGTCTAGTCCTTTTAGGGTGAAGGAGTAACGAACATACACACATACATATATAAACTTTCGCATTTTCGCATAATAATGGTTCGATGTAGAGTATTTGAACTCAAACACGAAAAATGACGTCCGATTTCGGCCAGATTAGCGCAGGAGATATTATAGTGCACAACTACACTATGTATTGCTGTCACTCTCATACTTCAGTGGGATGGCAATTCTGCACGACAGATATGAGATCAGGCGCAAGACCCGAAGGCTTTACGTGCTCGACGCACAGGAGTGTTATATCGATAACTTTCCATCTCTGGGCAGTTTGGCAGAACCTAAGAACTCCGTATCTGCAGCTATACAAGCTAGCCAATATACCAACGAGGCAGTAACAAAAGCAACACAAAAATACTCAACTAGCGATACTGACCCACTGTGACTGTGACTCGTCTAAGTAACTGTGCAGTGTGCAATGTCTCACTTGCGGATAAGCAATCTAAATCACTTCGTCTTAATAACTGTCTATACGTCACAAATATAGTGGGTCCGATGATCTGTTGATACATGAGAGGGAGCAATAAACAAAAAAAAACTATAGAATTTATTATATTTATATGTTCATCAAATTTACAAGATTTTTGAATCATTTTTTCTATTTGAAAGTAAGAGTATTCGCTGTTCGACGACGCTAAATGTAGTTCTAGTGAGATATTTTTACACAGAGTATGGAATTATATTATACTAGCGACTCACGCTCGCTTCACTCGGGTGTGTGTGTGTGTGTGCTTCACATAGATGCTCTTTATACGTATATTCTTATAAAAGTTTAAATTATTGCAATTATAAAGGTTAAGATATCATAAAATATCATTCTTGTTAGAAAACGTGGATATCCTAGAAATCGCCATTGTTTGTAATACTCGTATATAAGTTAATTTTAATGACAAGTCTAAGACGCTTTGGGAAAATTACGTCATTGCAACCAGCAAACTTATTATATTTATAGCGCTTTGACTTTATCTTCTAAATCGTATGAAGATTTATATGCGTTGTAGTTGACATATAATTCTAAAAAATAATGTTTCTAAAACGGAAACGCAGTGTTTTATAAACATATAAGCAGTATTGGTATTCAATAAAATCAAATCAATAATACTTTCTTAAATTTACGCGAATATTTGACATTTTAAATAAAACAATCGGATTTTTTCGCGATTTTATTTTGATTTTTGGTTCTCGACGTTTCGAATGCTCTGTAGTAATCATGAAATCCGGACCATGATTGCTGTAAAACATTTGAAACGTCGGGAACCAAAAATAAAAAAATAAACCGCGAAATAATACGAAAAGATAGTTTTATTTATTTAAAATCAAATCAATTTAAAATTATACTTTATTTCAATCAATTTAATTTAAAGAGAGTTTAGTCAGTTCGTACGGAAGCTGCCACCCTGTCCACCGGCTCATACGACAGTTCCGCCTAGAAGAGCTCAAGGGCCCAAGAGAAATTTTAAAATTGTTCACAATATTGCAATACATACAATAATAGTTTCAAGACACGTTTGTAGTGATTCCACTTGTTGTGCCAGCAGTCGTGGGTTCGATTCCCGCTGGAGAATTTGTGTGATGAGCACGAACGAATGTTTGTACTCCAGTCATGACTGGATATAAACCCCATGGGGTTTATATTCATAATATGTATATATTTAAAGTTATATAATATGTATGTGTAGTGTATCAACTATCTGATATCCATAACACAACCTTCGTAGCTTACCATGGAATTAGATGGAATCTAATGGAATTCATGGAACTGAGTTAATGTTCCAAATTATTATTATTACTCGTATTATTATAATCTAATTATCCTACGTTTCAACTAAATTTTGTCTCACACTTAAATGCTTTTAAAGCGATACATTACATTGCGATTTTTGTCTAAATTATTTAGTAGGTATGTTATAAAGTAATAGTAGTAAATAGATAAAAAATATATAAGTTTCTCTCATTCCAGCTAACCCATCCACCACGTTAACAGTTCTGCAAAACAGCTCCCGCCATAAAACACCCATCACCGGCCCAGTTCCTGTCAATGTAAGTGATAACTGATGAGAAGATTTACGATAATGTTTCTAACTTAATTCGACAATGATTATATTTACATACATAATTTTGTATGTTAAAACGTAAGGATGTATAGTAGGTATATGTATAATATAATAGATATTAGTAAGTAAATGTAAGTAGTAATAAGATCTTGCTGATATGATAGTCGATGTACCATTAAAGCAAATTTCATTATACCTGATATTTTTTAAATCTTTGTCTTCGTGTGCATAGGCCCTTAGGGTCAGACCCTAAAGGCCTGTGCACACGAGGACAAATGAGAAAGGTCCACTAGTGAAGTCTGGGCGAGTTCCTAGTTAAGCATACAACTTTTAATCTCACCTGGAACACTGAAATTATGTATTTTAAATTGCCTGTGTACCGGAATTGTAATAATTATAGATGTTTCTGTCGGCTTTCCATTCGCGCTTCGTCCGTTGGGCTGTCTACATACGTAGTGTAAATACCTGCAGCGGTTGATTTGTTTAAGAGTTTTATTGTATTTTTTTTTGGTATATAAAAATCATGTTTTTATTCATTATGTAAGTATTTATTTTTTAACAATTTAAGTATTTTTTGCTCCATTCTATTGTAATTGTTTTTATTCTATTTTTATGTTGATTTGTGTGCTAAGTCGATGTAGATAACTTTAACTTAAAAATATTATTATATGTATGTATTTAAAGTTATATATGTGTAGTGTATCAACTATCTGGTGTCCATAACACAGGTCTCGTAGCTTACCATGGAACTAGATGGTGCTGTGTATTAATGTCCCAACATATTTATATTTATTTATTGTAAGAATTTTTGGACTCGTGATGTGTCAAGATGGTTCTAATTGCAAAAATAACGAATGGACTTATAAGGGAAGAAATTAAAAGAATTTAAAGATTATCCACTATTTTACAATGAATTCTTAAATGTTACACTACACCTATTGCTATTACTGAAAAGTTATCGAATCATCGCACTCGGAAAAATAGTTCTATAATTACTTAAATATTTTACACGCAGTGCAAATATTTTGTGGGATATCACAAGTGATAAGCTAGCCTTGCGCCGAGTTGTTCAATAGGTATTTAGTAGCGGCTGTGTCAATACGCTGTAAGGTCATGCGATGCATTCCGTTGATTTTGTAATGACAAATGTTATTTGTACGTATTTTTGATGCTCATGACTTTATTTTGTACTAGCGACTTACACATTTTTTTTAACGTTGGGAAAAGCATTTCCGCACGAGGTGTGGGACTCACCGGCATAAAGCCAGTACTACCCACTCAAACACAACAAAACCTTCCCTCGTCTTAATGGGGCGTCGCAGGATCGCTTACGCATTCAACTACGACGCCCCGACGGCAGGTCCACGACCGTCCGAAGCAGACTACCACAACCATGGGGTTGCTCCAAGGTCCACTCTGCTATCAGAGAAGTACCAGGAGTAACCCGCATGGCACACCGCCCACCAAAGAGGGCCACCTCCCACCACCCACCGAAGTGGGCCACCTCCCTGTGCGTTTCTTGGCTTCGCGCCCGGCTGTATTGCCGGGCACTACTGAGCCCCCCCACCACGACAAGGTGAACGCACGTTGGAGGGGACTAGCGACTTACCCTGGCTTCGCTCCGCTTAGTCTCTACGGGCCTTTTTGTTGTATATTTTATTTATTGCTTTGTTTCAAAACGTTTAGGCAACACATGTCCATAAAATAACGACGACCATTTTTCATCCAATTTCAATTAAAGTTTTTATTATTTCTGACCTTTTTATGGGAATAATATAATAAATAAACTTGGCGATACTGTATCATCCTATTAGTGAAAAAAATGCTAAAATCGGATCAGTAGTTTCAGAGATTACTCCATATACACAAACTTATAAATTTTACTTCTTTATAATTTTAGTAAAGAATCTCTCTATCTCCATTCCGAGTTTTATTAAAATCCGATAATCCGTTACAGCATGAAGAAACAAACAATCACAAGATTTGCTGTTTATTAGATTCTTTGATGTTTAAAAAATATTTAACTTTTTTTTTATTTCGTTACAGCAAGAAAAGTTACGGCAACTGGAAATGGCCAAAGTGCACACGATGCGATTGATGCTAGACAAGGAACAGAAGTACATGAGGGATCTTAAAAGTTAGTATAAATTTAATATATTCGATGGGTGTCGCGGGTTTGGGTCCCGCTCGACATAAATATTAAATTAGTACTTATACAATATTTGTAATATTTTATTTATTATATAACAGTATTACGAATTTACATATATATCTTTTTTAAATAGTACAAAGTAGATGGTTACGTATTTAATTGTTTTTAAACCAAGTCACAAAAATTTAATTTATAAAAATGGAAAAAACCCTCAGTTTTATAATCAAATTGGCTATCCTGAACTTGCTGAAGCTGAATTAGCTATATGGATGTAATATTTTTGGCGCCATGTTATATTTTTGTCATTAAAAAATGTGATTTATGACAATTTTACACATATATACAGCCTTATCTCAATATAAATTCCATACAGTAAGCGATCGTCGATTAATTTTAATGAAAATAATGTGAATTCAATACTCTCTAGTGCCTCGTGGCAAGTAACAGTTATCAACCTGTCAACCCTAAATCGGTCTCCCGAAATTCATATAAAAATAAGTATGCCAGTCGGGAGCGCCTCGGCCGTCTCTCCCCTCTTAAGATTCCCGTTTCTAGAGGCCTTCATTTATCGACTTCAGATTAGTGGTGACTGGTGGCATGTGAATTTCTCTTTTGTAAAGTTGATAAAAAATGACAAATAAAATGTACTCTTAAAACTGTCGCCAATTGTTTTTAGGTAGTTATTGTAGTAGAAATAAATATACAACAATGTAAATTGTACGAAGAAAAATTTAAATTGAAAGCGCGCTCAAATGTTCAAATGAGCGCTCATTCGGTGAGGACATTTTTGTCGCTGATTGTGTATCTAGTACTTTTTTGTTCGATGATTAAAAATGAAAAATTACCTGCTAACTTCCAGATGAGCTCCTGAAAGTGCCGGACGTTCGTAAACAAGTGGAGTTAGAGTCGGCGGAGCAACGCTGCTCCCTGCTGCAGCACGAGATTGACAACATCATGGCGACGCAGGTGAGTGCGGGCGGGCGGGGTGCTCGTGCTTGTGGTATATGCATATTGTTTATACTTTTTTTCCATATTCTTAGTGGCTATGCTACAAATTGTGTTTAGTTTTTGATTTTATTTGATTTATTGTATTTTATTAAATAGGTACGTTTTAACGGTTAGTGTAAAAATAAACTATATACATGTACATTGCACATACATAGGTATAGAAAAGTAGGTAAGTACTTAAAAAAAAAACATATCCCTTATTTGAGATATGATTCATTCCGCAAACAAACTCCAACCCCCTCTTTTTTACCCCCTTAAAAGTAGGACTTCCGGGATATAAACTATCGTATGTCCTTGCCAGTGCCTTAATCTATTTCCATACCAAATTTCATCTAAATAGGTTCAGCAGATTAAGCGTGAAAAGGTAACAGATAGACATACAGACAGAGTTACTTTTGCATTTATAATATTAGTATGGATGTGGTTTATATTGGTGGGGCTTATAACTTTATATGGATTTCACAATTATTATTCTTTTAATTTTTTAGGGTTCCGTACCCAAAGGGTAAAACGGGACCCTAATAGTAAGACTCCGCTGTCCGTCCGTCTGTCACTATTCACTCACTGTCCGTGTTGTGTTGGCTGGCTCCCACACAACAAACATTATTTTCTTGCCGTTTTTATAGATAATGGTACGGAACCCTACGTGCGCTAGGCCGACTCGTACTTGGCCGGTTTTTTATTTTAATTGTTCCATTGTTAAGAACTAGTAAAAATTTCTCCATTTATCTATAAAATGCGTTAGTCATTTTTTTTATATGCTGTCATAATGTAAATTATTTTGGTCCACTAAAAATATTATCTTGTGTAGAAATATATAACGATAATGTCGTCAAGATGTCTGACAATATGCATATATTACAATATCTTTTTTTTTGGTAAAGTGCAATTAGAAGCTATTAATCTTCAAACTACACACAGCTGTAGTGAACATAGCCAACACATTTGTTACTATTTTGCAGTCACTTTCACATCTGATTTAAATCATTGTCATAATTTTTTATATATTTGTCTCTTTGTGATTCAGAAAAAATTCACAATTTTTTCTTTGTGTACTTTTTTTCTGATTCATAAATTAAAAGGCGAAAATAAATTCATATTATGCAATATGTGGTCAATAAATTATGAATAACTAACTTTTAACAGGTCGGGTTTAACAAAACATTTTGTCATTTCGTCCGCTTTTATGCCAGTTTGATTAATATTTTGTTTTTTTTTTCCAAATTCTTTCGTTAGGTGTAATTTGTGACGTCTTCTTTGTAAATAAGTTTTTATTGATTTAATTTCTTTTTATTTATTAATATTAATTTTTACATAGTCTTAGTTTTTTTTATTATGTAAACCTATTTTTGCCGAATAAAAGACTGAATGGTTAAATTATATAATTAATTTTCGCCTTAATTGTAATTGGTGTTGTATTTTTATATTGTAGTTTTAATTTATATTCTATTGATTCACGATTGAAGATGGAGATTTAACGTTTGATTGACAGAAGAGCCATTAGTATTGGTAATAGCAAAATACAAAAGTAAAAATACATAAATAAAGTGTCGAAAAAACAAATCTCCATCCGATCACACACAATTTTAGCCAGAAGCGGTGACACCGACCACGCCCACCACACCAAAACTATCTCGGAAAGATCCAGAGAAGAACGCTAATATGGGTTTTCTTAGCGGACTACCACGGTCCCTAAGCAACTTAACCGGCCAAAGTTTAAGAAATTTACGACAAAACAGACAAAAGCAAGAAACGCCCCTCGTTCGACAGAATTCCGACGAAACTAATAACAAACGTCAGGTGTTCGTGCCGAGGACTAATCGAGTGCCCACCACTTGTTTGGATAACACTCCACCGCCATTACCACCAAGGTCTACTGAAAGGCCGAAAAGGAACCCCATAAGCCCCATGAGCCCGCCATCACCAATGAGCTCGATGAACTCGGGGAGCCCCGTGAACCCTCTAGCGAAACCCACACCATCTATGCAAAATAAGATATATAAAATAAACCCAATGCATCAGTCAATGCCAGAGGATAAGTTCAGAAGGTCTTCCAACTCCTTAGACGGGGAAGTAGATGGGCCACAACCGAACTCAATAGCGTTACAAATGAGCTACCCTCTAGTGAATGTCCCACCGCCACCCTTACAGGTAATTTTTTCTGATCAAGCTCAAAAAAAAATTTTTTTTCCTTTAAATTTTTGACCTTGGTCAGTTTTTATTAAAAGGTTCCTTGAAATTTTTTTTTAATATTTCAAGGGATTCGATTTTTTTTAATTGGTTTGAGTAGTTCATTTTTTTTTGTATATCATTCATCATTCACGTTACAGTCACGATATTGCTGTAGCTTTTTGATTATAATTTTGCTGAAATCCTTTTTATTTTTGTGGTAGATGTTGTTGAGACACGTGTTTTAGAATTAAAAATGCTTAATTTAAGTACCTTTAAGTATAAAATACGTTACACGTACATTAATATGGATCTTATCTTTTTAAGTCTATTTCAACTATTTTATGTGGTACCGTATGTGATATTTGTATGTCAAATATTGCTTTTAAATGTGCGTTTCAGAACTAACTTTATATACTGCAACTAACTAAATTTGTTCTAAGTTATAACTTACTTATGTGCCCTGTGCTACTTACATACAACTAAAATAAACGATACATAAATGTCTGTCCGATACAAAAATATAGTGCTTAATTATAACATTTCTTATTTAAGATATTGCGAAAGCTATAAAACCAAATTTATGGCTCAAACATTAATTTCCATTTCATACCTTATATTTAAACAAATCATACTAAAGCTATTATAATTTGAAAGTATGTGTTATAGTGATTATACATATTATGTATATATAATAATGTGATGGTATACAGACAGACAACAGAGGCGGTGTGCCGGTGCTGCACGTGCGCAGTCAGTCCTCGCCTGAGCATTTAGACCACGATCTACCTAGAAGTTAGTATTTTTTTATTATATACAATATACATATACAATTTCTATCTATAAATATTAAAATCGATGTGTGTGTATGTATGTTCCCTATCGACTCCAAAACGGCTGGAACGATTTTGAAAAAAATAATATATAAATAAATACCGACCGACCCTCTCTTTGCTTGAGTGTCATATTGTATACAGGGCCATTTTTATCAAACTTTATAACTTTTATATTGTAACGGTAGCTTGGCCGGCTTTTTTATGTAATTTTTTAGTCGTTTTATGTATTCGTTAGCGGCGTGTCATAAATGTAATTCCAGCGAGCGCGAGCGGCCTGCCCGCGGCCGCGGACAAGGAGGCGTGGTCGCGCGGCACGCCGCCGCCCGGCACGCCGCCGCCGCCCTACCTGCAGGCGCACGCGCAGGTACGCCCGTGCATGTGCTTTAATCATAGTAAATAAAGAGATTAAATAAAACATATACTAATTTCATGTTTTTTTTAAATATTTTAATCCAAATTAAAGCGGAACATGAAAAACTACGTAATTTTAATGATATCTGGAAACAAGACGTTCATGTAACAGTTTAAATTTGCTCGATTGTCGATTCTATGTGACTTGATGAGACGTAATAAAACGTGGAATTTAGCGAAGTAAATCTGTGCTAAACTTGCACGCTTCGAAGCCATTATGACATATTAACAAGAGAATTGAAGAAGTGGAATCCGAATAATTGTCCGAAATGAATATATAAAAATATAAAATATTTGTTATAAATTATCGCACTTTGTCTACGTCATAATTATTAAAGATGACGACGATAGCTTGTCGAGGTAACGATGTTTCTTCACTCAAGCACATGACTAAATTTTTATTACTTTATTGTTTTTATCGTATCTTCAAAAGAAAATGTTTTAGTTACGAACTATATTTAATGTAGTATAAAAATTAATTTAACTTTCTAAAAGAAAACTTCTCCATTGATATTTAAGGCATATTCATTTTTTTTTTATTTTTATTACTTAGTGTAATGGATTGCCATTTGCAACATTTCGCCGGCTGCGGCTACTTAGTGTGACTATTAAGACGTTAGTTTCATTATAATCGGTGAAGCCGTTTTGTAGAGAAAGTACAAAAAGAAAAACAGCGAGAGATCTTTTTCTTATATTGTTTGGAATTTTATATAATAAACAGTCATATAAGCCATTAACGAGAACACGCTAACCGCTAGAAGCTGGTATAACATGGGTTTTATTTCTTTTTAGCAGCCATGTGCAGATCCTCAGAGAGCTATCATATCTATGGAAGAAGACGATCCACCTTCTGTGAGTATTCTTGTATATGTACTTGAAATAATAGATTTAAATAAACATTTTAAAATGTCGAATGATTTTTTTATTTTAAATGGTACGCGGATTTTGTCCAATATTTCAATTTCATGGGTTTGAATTTTTTTTGCGCGGAACCCTGGTTATTTTTAAAGTAAAAATAGTCTAAGTTACTTCTTATAACATCAGCTATCCGCCAGTGAAAGTCTCGTGAAAATCGGTTCAGCCGTTTCGGAGATTAGCCGGAACAAACAGACAGACAGAGATATTTCTTTTGAAAATTGTGTTTTTCTTGTTAGTACCTTATATACTTTCATATGCATTTAGTAAAAGCTGTTATTTTGACATTAGATACAGACACTTCAGTTTTAATTAACTGTATCGATAACTTTGTCTTTCTCAATATCTAAAAATAAAGCAATTTTCATTCCTTTTGCAGCTTCCATCATATTTACGTTTTTTCGTCTCATTCATTCTTTTTCAGTCACTCATTTTTGTTTCTATTTTTAATCTAAATAATATCTGATTTTTTTTACAGGATAATTCCACATCTTCTGGACTTTTCTCGAATCTTCGATCTGTGAGAGAATCTAAAGCGAGGATGGCCGTGTTGATAAATTGGTTGTTGGGAGAGAGGAGGTGAGCCATTTGTATATAAATATATTTTTTAAATGTTTGATTTGGCTTATTATATCTCAGTAAACATCAAATCAAAATTATATAAAGATAAATATATTTCAATTTTACGGTATGTACGAGTATCACTCATATCAATAATATACATACGTATATATATATGGGAATATTTTAAGTACGATGGACTACTGTTCCTTTCTTTTTCGAAGTCGGTATAAAAGTTAGCAGTATACAATGAATGAATGAAAATTGATTTTATTTAATGAAATTTTTGCAAAGACTTCAATTGTCAAAAGGGAGTGGTAACGGTAATAATATGAACATATACTAGCGACTCACCCTCGCTTAGCTCGGGTTCGTCCCTAGGTACGTTTTGACGGTCAGTATAAAATACAAATCTTTGGATATCTCCGCTTTTCTGTAGTATAATATGTAATTATTATACAAATAAACCTTCCTCTCGAATCACTGTATCCATTAAAAAAACTCGCATCCGCAATCCGTTGCGTAGTTTTAAAGATGTAAGCGTACATAGGGACAGACAGAGAGCGGGGAGCGACTCTGTTTAATGTGTTGCGCGGTGTCCGTGTGCAGGAGCGCGTGCGCGAGCCTGGTGCTGGTGCTGACGGACGCGTACCGCGCGGCGGCGGGCGTGGCGCCGCACACGCGCCGGCGCTGGGCCTACGAGCTGCACTCCACCTTCCTCGTGCCCGACGCGGTAACCACACGCACACACGCACGCACACACACACACACACGCACACACACGCACACACACACACACGCACACACGCACGCACACACACACACACACGCACACACACACACACGCACACACGCACGCACGCCAGTGGCCTTCGTGCGAGGAAAGCTTCAAGTTGCTAAATGTATTCTGCATTTGGTTTGAGCCCTGTACGAGGGCCTGCGCACACGACGTTTCGAATTGCTATCATCGCTCGTTTGACGCTAGTTAGACACGTAGTGGATGCGTTTTTATCGCACGCTTGTATCCATATGAACGTAAGCGATATTTGTTTTATTTTAATTTATAACGACGTACGTTCATTACGTGTACATCGTCGATGTGATTATGAAAAGTAGTGTGTTCAGACCCTTTTAAGTTCATCAGTACAAAATACGCGAAAAAAATTCGCATTCACGATATGAACCTTTCTGATGCCTTTTTAATTGCTGGTAAGCATGGACCCTAAGACTTGGTATTTCATCATAACTAAATAAAAAAAAAACTTTTTGTATGTAACAGATTCCTATAGACTAACAATACGAACGCAGTCGTGGATGAAACTAAATCTTTATTAAAATAAATGAAGAATCTATTTTTTTAACTCTTATTGTTGTTATTATATTATATAAATGAAATATTTGATTACCTCACAGGTGTTACCACTGAACGGCGTCGATGAGAACATGGCCAACGAAATCGATCATGTATTAGTTAACGGTATGTTGAATTAATCTTTGTAAATAAATACAGTATTGATGTAAAAACACGACGACGACACGTTTAGCTCAGTTTGTAGCGAGCCTGCTTGCTGTGCTGGCGGTCGGGGGTTCGAGTCCTGCTGGGGGCAATCATTTATGTCATGAGCACGAATGTCTGTATGTATTCCAGTCATGGGTATTTATATTTATAATGTATACGTAAAATATCATAATTTTTTAAATGGTTATTATTTAAAATAAGTTTATTTTATTATAAAACTTTTTTTAATGTTGGAAAAGGCATTTACGCATACCATCTGTATACATGTGGTTATGTGGGACTCATCGGCTACTGTGAAATTATCTTAATTCAATTCAATGCTCTTGTTGATTGTTTCTACTCATGAACTCTGAATAATTAATTGTTAATTGAAATGTGCACTCATCGCCGCCTTTAAGGTTTATGTTTCTTAACAAAAAAAATAATTTTGAAATTTTTTACATAGTATAATATGAAGTCACTTTCGCCATGTGTTCGGTTAGATTTTTAAAATAGTCAACGGATTTTAATGCAGTTTTTAGTGATCGATAGAGTGGAGAGAGTGATTTAAGATTTTGACGGAACTTTCACTGGCAGGTAGTTCATGTTATAAGGAGTGAGGCTACTTTAATTTTAGTAAAAGAATTAGTGCTTAGCTAAAAAAAATGTATCTACAGTTATGCTTAGTAGTTAATAGTTAAATTGAAAAACGATAAGTGTGTGTGCGCGCGTAGAGCACGAGAAGGAGGAGGTGCTGCGCAACGTGTTCCGCAAGGCGCGGCGCGCCGCCAAGGAGGAGCTGGCGCGCCAGCTGGCCGACTTCCGCCTCAAGCGCCGCCTCGGGCTCGCCGCGCTCTACGCGCCCGACGACCGCGTGCTGCGGCGCTGCGACGTGGACCGCGCGCAGGTACTAGGGGGGACCGTCTGTAGCTTATAAAAAAACTGAATTATTGAAAAGAAATTATTCAACGTCTTGAGGTGGCCCATTTTGTTTTTGAAATATTTCATTTAAAATTTTCGGTTTGAATGGATTTTTTTTTGACTGATCCTCATTGAAAATATTCAAAAATTGATGAATATAGTCATTTTCTACCCAACTTTCACTGTAATATTGCATTATTGCAATTTAAAAAAAAATATCATGTTACTTATACTCCTTAATTATTTTTGATTAAGACCTTTTTATAAATTATGTTCTCAAGAGAATTTGTAAAAAAAAGGGAAAGTAAATTAAAAACGAGAACAATTATATGTTGTACATAATTCGAAATTACGCGCTTTTCACAAACCTCTTTTGTTCATTGTCTTTCGAATGACAAAATTAAAAATGCACATTGTTTCGTTTAAAAGTACTTTATGTGGTGTGCATAAATTCGAATTTGTGTTTAAGCAATTAAAAGTTTTTTTAAATATCACTCTTTAAATAAAATTATCTTTTCGAATTATTTCGCGGATTTATTTTGATTTTTAGTCCCCAACGTTTGAATGCTTAACAGCAATAATGGTCACGGGAGAGACTCATTGTATGATTGCTGTAAAGCATTCGAAACGTCGGGAACCAAAAATCAAAATACATCCGCGAAATAATTCGAAAAGATAGTTTTATTTAAAATGTCAAACATTCGCGTGAATCTAAGAAAGTTTCATTCTATGGTTCGACTATATGTTGATGTCAGTTTTTGAAGAGATATTTGTTAGGAAATGTGTAACTATGTTCTTATATACTCAAGTTCAAATGTCACATTTAAAATAGATATTTGATGCTTTAAATTTAATTGAAAATTAATTAAAAGAAAAGTTTATCTAGTTTACTTGATACTTCAATATTGTAATTTTAGACTTCGCTCGCGCCAACATTACAAAGAAATGTCTAAAAAGGTAGTTTCACACAAACTTTCTTCCCCTTTTTTACCCCCCTTATAAGATGAATTTCGAAAAATGCTAAAACATGTATTCACTTAATTTTATTAAAGAGCATTAATACCAAGTTTCAAGGAATCCTGGTCATACATTTTTTTCTCACCAAAAAATCACGCCAATCCGTTTCGACGCGAAAGATGGACAAACGAACACACGTTCGTATGAGTATACCAAAGAGTGTGGTGTGCCCCGCGCAGGAGCAGGTGGTGGTGGAGCAGCTGCTGTGCGCGCGGCTGGGCGCGCTGGCGGCGGGCGGCCACCACGCGCCGCACGACGCGCAGCACGCGCTGCTGGCCGCGCTGGCCGCCGCCGCGCTCGCGCTCGACTGCAGGTACGCATGGCCCCTGTGTGTGAGTATGTATATGTGTATTAGGGTGAAGCGAAAACTATATGTATTTTTTCATAGCTCGGGAGTAGAATTTGTTGCTTATAAAAAAAACAAAATTATTGAAATTAAAAAAAATACTCAGCATTTTTTTACACAGCAGTGAAAGTTGAGTAGAAAATGACTTTATTCGTATATTTTTGAATGAATTCGAAGATATAATCAGCCGAAAAAAAATTTTCCATTCAAAGTAAAAATAAATATTAATTATTTTCAAAATCAATGAGGCACCTCAAAATGTTCAGTAAATTTTATTTTTTATTTCAATTTTTTCTTCTTTTAATAAGCTACAAATTCTACCCCCTAGCTAAGAAAAAATTTTTTTTTTTGTTTCCGCTCCATGCTAATAATCTGTTTAAAATTTGATCATGAAAATCTATACATACTCTTAAGTTTTTATAAAGAAAATAAAGAAGTATTGTTGTACTAAACTTCACTACGTAATTTTAATTAGTAAGCCTTTAAAAATTAAATAAATAAAGATACAGTCACATGCAAGCGCACATACGTATACACATACACTGATGCACATATACACGCACACATTGAAGTGGCTCGAGGTGCAGTTAAGTACATAATACTCCGGCCCAATCATCTTAAAAACTTTAAAAATACAATATTGTCTATGACACCTTTAATAGATGATCACGAAACTAATGATGACATTTCACTTTTGTAATTTATCGATTAAGTCGGTTTATAATTGAATATTGATAAATAAAATTATTAATTTAGCGTTAATTAAATAATTTTATCAAAATATAATTAATATAAAAGAAAAAAATATAATCGAATAATAAAAAAAGTTACACATTACCAATTTACTTCTTTCAATTGAATCACTTAAAGTACTTGAGGTTAAGAATAAAATACATACGTATCATATTTATTAAACATACAGATCTTATTCGAAAATTTGACTGTTGAGTTCATTTTATTAGGGCAAATTAACAAATTAGAAAAATTAAATGTCTTATTTATTAAATAAATAAATAAGCTTTTATTTCTTGCAACTTAATAACAGTTTTTAACTTTTAACTTAATAACATTTTAACTTGTCTTTAACTTAATAATAATTTATATTTGTTTAGTTAACTACATGTACTGTTTTTTTAATATATACATTTTTTAATATACTATACAGTTATTTTTTTTTTGTTTTATAAATATTTATTTTGTGTTGGCTGCAAGCACCGCTCGTGTGTTAAAAGCCTCCTCCAATTGTCGCCACCTAGACCTATCTCTAGCTTCTCTGGACCACGTAGTGCCGACTTGTTATACTATGTCGGTCTTATTTATTATTAGTAGTTTATTGTGCACTCCACCTGAAAAGTAAAAGCTAGGTCTATATCATGAAACTATTCAGTAAATAAGTTAATGTCTCCTGTTAGTAATTTATAAGCTATTTTTAATCATGATCAGAGAGTAAATATGTGTCATCGACATACTGATAACATGCACAGTGTTTAATTCATAACATTGACAAGATTTAAAGTGCAATTACTAGTGAAAATGGTTTTTCATATGAAATAGACAAAAAAATATCGTAAAATGTTTCTGTTATGTTATTTAAAAATCCTTATATTCCAGTCATATTTTTACATAATAGGCAGTGGTAATCCAGTGGTAACGCGCTCGCTCGGGGAACCGAGTCAAATGTGATTTCATAGTAGGGGGTGTACTTCTGAACAATCCATACCTCCGATTAATCTGAATTTTCGTATACATATGGATGTCGACGCGCAGATAATAGAAATGATATTGCATGCAAATTCTAAGAAAAAAATGTTTTTCACACTAAAATTATAGGTTCTTTCTAGGTTAGTTAGGTTAGAACAGTTACAACGCACGAGTCGAGCGGCAGCAGCGGCCGGCCAGTGCCATAAACGATTAGAACTTTTAGAACAAAATGCTTTAGGACCTGTTTATATCATTAGGTGAAGTCAGCTTTGACTTTAACATCCATTGCATTTATTTCATTTTTCTGAGAAAATTAACTCTACACGAAAAAATTATTGAACAAAAAAAGTGACATTTCTATCGTGACCTACAAATTTGTTATTTAATATTTGCCTCTAAAATCAATATTTATAACGATAATCGTGAAACATTGAAAACATTTTTTTTAGATTTGACTTCGAAAATGAAATATGCGGCCATTTTGCCTATCATGCTCGTAATCAGTACGTCGAATTATATATATGTACCTAATTTCAGATTAATCGGAGGTATGGGATATATTATAATATATTGGGAAGTTTATCCTCGTAGTTATTTAATAATCACTAAAATTCGATACAATTGAAGTTAAGTGAAGTGCCTAAAAAAGTTTTCTAATTAAAAAAAAAAAGTCTAAAAATACTATTTCAGATACATCCCAATTATCCTTAAATATAATTTTCCAATAAAATATTCAATTTAAATCTGTTCTATTTTGTATATACGTACATATATGTAAACTTGACATACCGACAAAAAGAAATTTGTAAACGCTATGTCACCTATAACATCAAATTTATATATAATAAGCGAAATATTTATCAATGGGAGCGCTTATCACGTGAAATGAAATGATAAGAGATATATTAAGAAAAAACGTCAAGCGAAATGAATCTTTAATATAATGGAATAAAGAAGGTTTTCAAATGAACTAATTGTATTACGATTTCTTACCGAAACACTGTTTATTTTCATTTTAGTACTCAGTGTGTCATAGACGTGTTACTTATAATTTTAGTGGTGTTTTTTAATAAAAAAAATTAAAACGCATATCAAAATATTTTGATTCCCTTTGATATTTGATAATATTTGTTTACCCGCGGTTCCCTTTATATTAGTATGGTCGTCATTTTTAATCAGAAAGATTAATTCACATTTTGGTTATTATACGAGTAATTATAAAAATACTTGAGTTCCATACAAACTTCTAACTCCTTTTTCATCTCTTTTAGAATAGGTACATTTTCAAAAATCCCTTCTAAGCGAATACTTATATAATACTCCCTTTGAGGAAGCTATCTAGCAAATATCAAGTTATGTACTATGTAGTGTAGACTTTCTAAGATTACTAAATTATTCAGTGGGCGAGTGGTATTTAGTTTTTACATATATTTTATTGTAAATCCCAACCGGAAAAGATTCAATAAATTCAATAATAATCGCTATATTATTTCTACATTCAATGAATCATAAACTAAGTGCTATTTAAAATAGTTCGTGGGTAAAAATAAAATGATTGACGTACTTATTGGTCAGTCTGACAGTGCTTACTGCTTCCTGTTAGACAACCTGTTGATACTCTCGTATATTTTATTTAGATATATATATTTTGATGATGTTTTGTAGATTTAATAGTTATTATTATTGTTAAATCTCTCTTAGTGTTTATTTGACTATCGTTGAAAACTTGAAGTGAGAAATTACATTATTTTAAGTGATGTGCATACATTTTTTAGATTTAAAAAAGTTATTAATTTTTTAATTACTGAATATTTTTTATAGTTATTCGTGATATATTTACACTGAAAACGTATTGAGTGCAATGTCGTGAAGCGAGTGTGAAGTTTAATTAATTTTAATTATTTATGTAACGCGCGGAAAGACTCATTTTCCTATCAATGTTATGTATTCGTTTTGTGTTTCCTCCTTTAAACAAGACGTGGCTAAATTAAATTACATTTATATGTGACTTTAGGAATTCATATCTGTTAAAATAATTGTTTTTTTGGTGTAAATAAGTGGATAATGGTAAATTTGTTGGACATAAGTGAAGCGGATGCTAAAGAGATCAGGCGGAAGTGGTGGCAGTCGCCTAAGAGCAAGAAAAAGAAAACAAAGTAAGATTTAATATATACAGTTAATATTAATTATAGTAGTAAACCTTGCTATTATTTAATATCAGAATGTGTTTATTGGTAAGTCTTTTACGTGTTATATTTGTGTGGCTATTGGGATGTGGCAATTTATTTTAGTACAAAGCCAAAGTAATACAGAGTATCTTAAACTAAAGATTATATATATATAACATTAAAATAAGTAAAATTTACATTGTATATTCCATATAAAGGCTAAAATAGCATGCTTTAATGTCACTATTACTAATTCACAATGCAATTCATTTAATTATATGTACGTACATATGTATTAAAAGTGTAAAACAAAATAATCAATGTTCTGAAAAGAAGAAAGAAATAATAAAATAGAACAAAAACCAATGAAAAATGAAAAAAAAAAACAGAAAAATTAAAAACTTAATCACTTATATAGTATCTGCTGACTAGGTCTTAGGTAATATGACTATTTCAAAATTTGAGTTCTAATTACACTACCGATACATAGATAAATTAACTTTTACATTTAAAAAAAATTAGCTTATATATTTTGTTCTAGTGTAGAAGGTGTCTATGGCATACATACATATATTTGTTATTATATATAGTAATCTTAGGACGTACCTTGTTGGATTGAAGTAGGTACTAAATAAGCTCTGATTGTAAATCCAATCAAATTATTTATTAAATAACAACTTTTTTCTCGACACTCATATTACATGTTCCTACGTTTTTATTGAAATAAAAAAGGTAAATAGATGTCGCAACCTGTACGAAAAACTAAATGATACAAACCCATAACACTTAGCACACAAGAGACTAACCTAATACAAAAGCGTACCAAAACAAAATCACAAACTATGACGGATCTAACCTGTCAGCGACTGCCGAGCCATACGTGGCTCCGTTAACAATTGGTTTCTTAGAAATAAACCGCAAGGTGTCTTATAATGAAGTAAATTTTGTGACTCTAGATGTAGACGGTAAACACACATGATAAAGTTATAATTCCATCAGCCTAAATAAAATTATCTATTCGGACTTTATCGCGGTCGTATTTTGTATTTTTGTTGCTTAACAACTATATAGTAACTTTTGAGACGTCTAATATGTTAGTCTATCCCAGTCGCAAACATGTAAACCATTCGAAATGTCGGAAACCAAAATAAAACTGTGACAAAATTTGAAAAGTTAGTTTCATTTAAAATATCAAATGTATGTAAATCTAACAAACTATTATATCAGTTGTCATACAGTAAAAATCAATCTTTTAACTGGTAACTATTTCATAATTATTTACATTATGTAAAGTACAATCGTTCTATTCTTTTTTCCTTATGTTTATTATTATTTTGAAACACTAAAAATAATCAATTCTTTTGTATTGTATCAGGCCGGCGTCGGTAGCGTCAGCGGTGGGCGGCTCGAGAGGGTCGTTCCTGCAACGCGACAAGTTGTATAAGCAGAGGCTCAAGCAACTCACCAAACAACATCCACAACCGGTCAGTCATTTATATTAGGTTAATATTTAGAGCGGTTTTTCCTAAAGAATCCTCATCTTACCGTCCTATAGCTTTATCATCAACGTTGGGCAAAGTTATGGAGCATCTTATTAAGAATAGACTGGACTGGATAGTGGAAAGTAGAACAATTTGGTTTTCGAAAGGGCATGGGTACAATTGACAGTCTCAGTATTCTTATATCGGAAATACGTCTAAGCTTTTTAAGAGGAGAATACCTCGTGGGGGTCTTCTTGGATATTAGCTCTGCTTATGATTGCGTTCTTCTTCCGCTTCTGAAATCTAAAATGCTTTACTTAAATTTACCGCCAAAATTAAGTAATTTTATTTTCAATCTTTTTTATTGGAAGATCGATTCGAGTGAGATATCAGGGTGAACTTCTCCCCCCTAGAACAATTTGGAAGGGTCTCCCGCAAGGTTCAGTTCTTAACCCTATTTTGTATAGCTTTTACACTCATGATCTTGATAAATCTGTAGATAGTTTCTGTAACATTTTAATGGCTGCAGTCACATGGTTTACTTTTGTCAGTTCCGAAAAGTAGTGTAGTTGTTTTTACTAGGAAGAGACATATTCCAGAAGTTAACATTTTATATAAGGAACAAACCATTCCTGTTCTAAATTCTGTCAATTTTTTAGGTATTTTCCTAGACTAAATTATCAGGTAACACTCATATAGATTATATCTCCAAAAATGTGAAAAGAATATTCAAATTTTATGTGCATTATCAGGAGTGTGGTGGGATTCCCATCAATACTCCCAAAAAATTTTATATAACGATATTATTCGTATATATCTATCTATTCTAAGTATATGAGTATATCCTATTTATATTTATGAATTTTAAATTTATTTATTATAAATTTGTTGGGTATAAACAAGCTGACAATTTAAACTTATTTACTTTGATTTTAATATACAGCGCTGGGTAGCGATAACCGGGTAACATGGGTGGGTGGCTCTATCCAATATAAAAAAACCATATGTCGAGTATATTTAGAGTGGTGTCTTTGTGTATGTAACAGTTCGTGGTGCGCGGGCACCACCTGCAGCTGGTGGCGCTGACGGCGGCGGCGCACTGCCACCACTGCGCGCGCGCCGTGGGCGGGCCGGCGCCGCAGGCCTGCGTGTGCGCGCTCTGCGGCCTGCGCGTGCACCGCGCCTGCGCGCGCGCCGTGGACGAGGGCTGCTGCATCGACGCCGACCACGCGCCCCACAACCGCATCTCGCGCTTCATGGAGCGCATGCACACGCACGCGCCCGGTACAGACACACTACCTCGCGGGCTCATCCCTAACTTTATTCCCCATACAAACTTTCATCTCCATTTTCACCCCCTTAATGGATGATTCCCGGGACAAAAAGTATCCTATGTCCTTCCCAGGGTCTCAAACTATTTTCCTACCAAATTTCATCTAAGTAGATCCAAAGATTACCCCCTAAAACGTCACAAACTTTACTTCTTTATAATATTGGCCAACCGACAATATTTTAAAATATGAATATCTAATAGATAAATATGTATTTTACGTATCAAAATATATTAGATTTCCTATGCGTTGGCTGGCACCGACTTCGAAAATATCTGATTAGGTATCTATTTTAAATGAAAGCCCCCGTTTAGTTATTTTTTACATTTTAGTGCCTTGATGTCGGTTTCTTTTTTTTTTAAGATTTTATTTTAGTTCTTTCAATGAACCATAAACTAGTCCGAAAAGAGAGTAAAAGATAAAATACTTTTTATGATGAACAATTCAAGATGCAGAGTGACTGATGACAATTTTATTTAATTTGATATCCTTAAAAAAAACCTTACTAACATTTTAATACGAAGTTCTTCCTTCTTGCATCCTATATGAAATATAGGATTTGTATGAAATATAGGATGCAAAAGAGTACAAAGTATATGTATGTCAATAAATCTGAATTGGAATAATTTTTAATTCTGATAATAATCTATTTTCATTTGATATAGATTCAAGCGATAAGAAATCAAGAAAGACGTCGGGCACTGCGCACTTTCTCAACAGTAAGTTTCATTTATATAACTAGCATCTCTAGGTAGGTTATAATTTTTTTGAGTGAAATCCTAATACTTTTTCTGAAATAAAAGTAGCCTATGTTACTTTTTATAACATCAGCTATCTAGCAGTGAAAGTCCCGTCAAAATCGGTCCAGCCGTTTCAGAGGTTAGCCGGAACAAACAGACAAAATTTAAAAAAAAATGTGATTTTCTTATAATTACCGTAGGTATGTTAGTCCATATGCAATTATGCATTTAGCAATAAGCTGTTATTTTGATATTATAAACAGACACTTCATTTTATCTGTATGTATAGATAATCTGTTACGGCTTATTAATTAGTTTTCTCTAGTGACTATTTTCGGAACTAAAATAAAATTAAACACAATAAAACTATTTGGCGGTTTATGGTGCAGTTCACAGGAACAGTTCTAATTACCTAATTTATCGTAATTTACTACTGTTTTTATAAATTATAACAAACCTTATGAAAAATATCATGTTTAATATGGGTTTATAAAAATTAGAAAAAAAATACTTTTTAAAACTTTTCCAATTGAATACCTCCTTTTTTAAAGTCTGCTAAAAATTGAAATTATTATAAAAATTTAAACATCGTATGTTTTTCCAGTGGAACGAAGTGTTCGGAAGATGGAGGACGACTCGCCGTGGGACGCCGCGCTCGCGCCCGGCGCAGCTCAAGGTAAGGCGACGCGTTGTACTACACTGGCTTGCTTCAGAACTGTGAGCAAGCTGCGATTTATTTTCATTATGTTTTAAACTATACAGCCGCATGGTATACTATAAAGAGCAAATTTTGTATCTGTTAAGTACTTGTGATGCTATTTTTATATGAATTAAAAGTTTAGCAGTTCAAATCTAAAGATTACTTAGTTATTTCTTTAAATAATATAATTTATACCACGGACGTCGATGATGTAATCAAGCATCGCTTTTCCTGTGAATTCTTAGCTGTTATAAGAGCTATGGCAATTGTTAATACAATGAAAACTTTTTGAATGAATTCAGATCGTAACAGCAAAACTACATTCAAATTCGTTCTGTAGTTCTTGAGTTTATTGTGCAAATGCGAAACGAAAAACGCCCATCGCGCCGGTGACTTAATGTATAAGTTGATAGGATAGTTGACACTAAGTACATTCACATTTGCGCATTTTTTTGTAAATCTTTGTAATGTTTACATATTTTTAATCAATTGTTCTTTAATATTATAACAAAGATTTCATTGATCTTAAAAGACTTATTGTTCTTTAATGTTATATAAACAACATTTAGAATTATCAAATTTCCAGTAATTGTTAATGAGTGTAGAGTCCAGAGACTGTTTATTTACTTTTCCCAAATGTGTTTACATTTGTATTGGTTTATAATGTCCTCCACCTGTAATGTTAGTCAGTTCTTTGAGTTCCTTGAGTTCCTTCGGACCTCCGAGTCAGCTACAGTATAGCAAGTAAGAAAGTTATGATTTAAAGTTATAGTTAACTGTCGTGTGATAAATAAATATCTATGAACGTCACGCTGCTGTTTGTATCTCAAGACCCCTCCTGACCACCGAACATTACACCTTTTTGATATCGATATGAATGTTGAGAATTTTGTTAGTGAACAAGGTTCAACGAGTTTCGGCAAATAGGCTGCTTTTCAGCAACGTATCTAATACCTATCATACGAGCGCAACTGCGAGCAAAAACTAACACAGATTTTATATCAAGGATTTGTAAATTTCATACAGAACAGTCTCATAATTTTTGAAATATGTACTTTATTTGCATGCGTATCTCCATTTTTGTAGGTCGTCGCGTGATGTTAGGTATTTCATACAATCGAAAATTGTTGCTTTAGCTTTATAAATAAAATTAAAGTATCTGTTGGTAAATGCTTGAATGTAATGTTAAAGTAATAGATTTTTACTAAATGAATGAAATTATATATCGTACTTATAAATAAGACAAACATAATTTTTAAAATTTTTGTTTGTCTGTCTGTTTGTTCCGGCTAATCTCCGAAATAGCTGGATTGTTGACGGAACTCTTATTAGCAGATCGCTGACACTATAAGGAGTAATTTAAGCTACTTTCATATTAGAAATAGAATTGAAGTTTCGTTCAAATAATTAAAACATTCCTAGATAATTAAAACATTCGCACCCGAGCGAATAGAAAGTAAGTCGCTACGTCTATCTATACATATACAGTGTAAACTCTTTATAACGAAACTCAAGGAACTGAGCATTTTTTGTCGTTATAGAGAGTTATCGTTATATGGAGTGAACAAAAAAAACCAAATTAACAAGAATTTTTAATACAAGAATTTTTAATTGTATGTATGTCTTAGATCATAAATGCTTATACATATAAATTATTGTTTACACATATAGTCTGATAATTTCGTCTGACGTTTTTTGCTATGCCAGTACTTGTTTTGTATTATTTTATGTATTCTATTCATATCTAGATATGTGGTGGAATCGTCTTGATTAAACAACAAATTTTTTTCTACCAACTTAGCGGCATCTAGGGCTTGTTGAATTGTTGGTGGTGATTCGGCTTTGTCCACTTGATCGTCTTCTTCATCTTGATTATCGGGTGTTTCCTGACTTTTTGACACTAAATCAACAATTTGTTCATCTGTAAGTGTACCAGTTGTGGCTACATCCTCATCTACGTATCGTACGATTGTAGATCTTCGTTAAAATTGTTTGGTATGTTGAACTGGCTTATCCATTCACTCAGTGGTAGATTGTCTTCACTGTTAAATTGGTACGTTTCTTGGCTACTACATAATCCGGCATGTCGAAAAGAATGTTGGATAGTGGCCGCTGTTACCTCTTGCCAGGCTTTTGATATGAAGTTCACTGCTTGTAGCATGTTGATCGAGACCTTGCCGTCAGTTTCTATCATATCCATCAACATTTTCCGTCTATAGTGGCCCTTTAGGGATTTAATTACACTCTGATCCATTGGTTGTAAAATACTGGTTGTATTAGCTGGGAAAAATGCTAACTCTATGTTTCGAAGATTAGATATGATTGGGTGAGCAGGACAATTGTCTACTAGAAGCAAGATTTTCCGTGATTTTAATTCAGCATCCCATTTTCTCACTTCCTCTTCAAAAATCTGCGATGTCATCCAAGCTGACTTGTTTGCTTTGTACGTAACTGGCAACTGTTTTATGTTCTTGAAACACCGAGGGTTTTTCGATTTGCCTATAACTAAAAGCTTTCTTTTTTCTGTGCCACTCATATTGGCAGCCACTAGAACTGTAATGCGCTCTTTAGACAGTTTTCCTCCAACACATTTTTCCCCTTTGAATTTTAAAGTTTTGTCGGGAGTCAACTTGAAAAAAAGGCCAGTTTCATCTGCATTAAAAATGTCTTCTGGTGAGTATTTCATCTTTAAATTAGGCCACACTGTACTAATCCAATTGTTAGTCACATTCATATCGACATCCCGCGCCTCTCCGTTCATTTTACCGTACGTAATTTGATGACGGTGCTTAAATTTTCCGAGCCAACCTTCAGATGCTTTAAAGTCAATTATGCCAAGTTGGTTGGCAAACTTTTCAGCCTTAGCTTTTACAATTGGCCCCGAGATGGGTACATTATTCTGGCGCTGATTGTTAAACCACGACAACATTGCCTGATCTAAGTCTTCGAATTTTGGCTTTCTCAATTTTTTAGACAAGTTTCCTTCCAGCGCCGCCTGTAGAATTGTTTTTTGGTTTTTCCAAATGGTAGCAACAGTGGATTGACTTAGTTCAAAACGCCTTCCAACGTCACTTTTCTTTTCTCCCTTTTCAATCGCACGTATCACACAAACTTTTTCGTCAACACTAATCGCTTTCCGTTTACTGGCCATGTTAACAGTTTCGAAGTAGGTTTACGACTGATAATACGATAGGTACCCAGTATGCTTGGTCGAAGACCATCACTTCCGAGAAAACAATGCGTCATACTGCACGTGTACAAGGCAATTAAGGATAACAAAAGCTAGACCGACCTCGGATGTTTCGGAGCTTCAAAGTCTTTTGTTACCTGATAACATAACATAAACAATAATACCCATAATAAATATTTACTGTCTAAAAATATGAACACATTTCTTCGTAATAGAGAATGGCGTATCGCTATAAAGAGTGTTTCAATATGTGAGTTTTAACGCAAACCAACCAACTTGGGCTCACTCCAACGTTATAGGGAGTTTATCGTTATAAAGGATAACGTTATAAAGAGTTTACACATAAAATTGTAACTAAGCCGAATCTGTACATTAAATATTTTTTGGAAAATCATATTGAAATAAACATTATTATCGATACAGAGGCCGATTCTAGTTTTTAGAATTTTTGTCTGTCTGTCTGTTACCGCATCACAGAAAAACCACTGGAGGGATTCTGATGAAATTTGGTATGGTGATCGCTGGTTATCCGGTCAACATTTAGGATACTTGTTACTGCGGGAAAATATCTCATCTCTGAGAAAAAATATAAAAACTGCAATGTAAGAGTAGGTATACTAATATGTAAAACCTAAGAATTTGGTTTTTGGTCATCTGAACGCGGGCGGTGCTAGTAATTATATAAAGTTGCAAACACGTATAGTAAATTTGCACTCTGAAATTACTACATCTAGGTTAAAAGCATATGTACTCGTAGATAGACGGATAGATTATATGAGCATTGTACAATCAAACAAATGTAACCGGTCAATTCATTCGATGAAGGGGTTTTCCCTTATTGAATTCATCATGCATCCAGTTATATGTTCTTGTAATGGATGTGGTATTATTATTTAATCGCTATATATTATAGAGTTTAAATTATAATTTGATTTTTGGTTACCGACGTTTCGAATGCTTTACAGCGATCATGGTCACGGGAGAGACCAAACCAAAAATCAAAATGAATCCACGAAATAATCCGATAGTATTGTTTAAAATGTCAAATTTTCGCGTAAATCTAAGTATTATGTGTACTTTAATGTTTAAAATATATTACTCGACTTTTTCAGGTTTATCCTTATCAAATCGAATTCGCCATCTTTGACTTAATAGGTGCATATTATCAGTTACTGCTATACTACATTGGAACAAACATACACATTTACATACTGTATTATTAATGTTTATATTTTCTTATCTTGTCAATTCCCCCAAGATTCGCAAAAGTTGAAGATTAGCAAACGTTGCGGTATTGGTAAATTATTATGCCTCTTTCCGCCTTCCATATATAATACGTACAAGGGACCTAAAGCTATTTGAATGGAAGCGACTTGAATATATGAATATCATTACAAGAAACGACATGTATGTATGAACAGGAATTTTGTTATGGGACCGATGACATAGATTTTCATTATACTAATAGTTGTACGTTAACATAAAAATACGTTTCCTATACAAAAATATTTAAGTGTCTCAGTTATTCTATAATGAAACTAGCAGAACTAGCCGAGGCTTCGTCCGCGTTCAATCTACAAAAAAACTCTTTGAATTTATGGAAGTCTGTCCGATTTGTTGACATTTATGATTACTGCTCCGCTCCCTTGGGTAGTAGCATGATGATATATAGCCTTCTTCAATAAACAGGCTATCTAATGCAAAAAGAATAGTAGTTCCTGAGATTAGCGCGTTTAAACAAACAAACTCTGCCTCTGTCTATATATTGATACGATCCCAATCCGCAATTGATGTTGACTGCAGAATTGTCTAGTAGTAACCTAAATATTATATACAATATGTCAGCAATGGAGCTCCAATAATTTTAGACGGACATACAGACGGACTTAACAAAATTTTTGAGGACTCTATTAAAATTCCGCCTATCGGTCTGTCAGTATGTATACGTTAATTTTCAAAACGTCTAAAGCGATTTTAAGAAGATTTATGATAAAATGACTTATATACCTACTAGATTATGATGAGCTTTTGGCTCGGTATTTAACAAGAGCTGAAACGAAGCGAGGCTAGGTAGTATAATATAAAAGTTATTGCTATAACAAAGTAATAAGTATAATAAAAAAGCTTTATATTACTTTTCCAGTTTTTCTCAAACAATTTTCAAATTAATAAATGAATAAAGAGAGTGGAGTTAAAGAAGGGGAATTTCTTCAGTACAAAAGTTACGAACTCGAGATGCAAATATTTCTGTTAGTATCGTACTCGGATATTATTTTATTTGCGAATGTTTTTAGATTATTGCCTAATGTTTCGAATAATTTGAGTTAGTTGAAGTAGACGGAATAAAAATTATTTGTAAAAAGTAAATTTTTCATACAAATAATTTTAAGTAGTATAACAAGTTGCTTTGAATACAATTATGTACCTACAACAAAATGACTACATACATAATATGTACATATATAGTAATATACATATAATAAAATTCTAACTGGGTCGGATCTGTACATTAAATATTTTTTGGAAAATCTTATCGAAATAGTCATTATTATCATACAGAGACCGTATCTATGGTTTTTAGAATTTTTGTCTGTCTGTCTGTCTGGGAGCGCATCACGACAAAACCAGAGCTCGAGCTTAGCGAGGGTGAGTCGCTAGTACAATTATAAATCTTATAAATATAAGAATGGAACCAAAGCACACACGACCATTACAAATTTTTTTTACCTCTGCTTATATCAAAATGTCAAAATCTGAAATCGCTTAAAATGGGTTTTTAGGGCAGAGTATTTGGAATAGAGTAACATAGACTAATACAGCCGGGCCGTAAACGATATCAGTACGACCTAAAAGTTAACAATAATATTTATATAATAATATATTCATATATAAAGTTTTTAAGAAGGCATTTCAAACAAACAAGCCGTCTATCTGTTCGCAAATTGCATCTTACTACAATCATTTGTATAGATCAGCTGTCACCGGCCGGCCATGTGAGTGTGACTGTGACTCACCTCGCGGGTCGAAAACGACGATATTAAAATGTTTACATAACATTGTTATTTTCGTTGGCACGCCGTTTTCATTTGTCTCACCTAACGACATGCTCTGTACTATGAGTGACATGTTTTGGGATTGTCGTCCATCGATTAATAGTGGAGATCAATAAGTTATCTGCGGTTATATTTACTAGAGATAGAAATTCGACATTAACTCCATATGGCGCATATTGCCCATATCATATTCTTACCGTTAGTAAGATATTCTAAAGAGATAGATAAACTATTAGGATCTGCTCTAAGACAATTTCATTAAATTAAGCGGATATTTTGATAAATAAATATGTCGGAACATTAAGACGCAGCACCATCTAGTTCCATGGTAAGCTACGAGGCTTGTGTTATGGATACCAGATAGTTGATACACTACACATACATAACTTTAAATACATACGTATTATAAATATAAACACCCATGACTGGTGTACAAACATTCGTGCTCATCGCACAAATGAATGCCCCCAGCGGGACTCAAACCCGCGACCGTTGACACAGCGGACTGAGCCAAACGTGTCGTCAAATAATGTTTTTAGTTATTGATAATGTCTTTAGTTATTGTGTAACCAGAGTGGTATAATATACTCGTATGACTGACAGTTTAGTGAGGCTGACATACTCGTAATATAAGATGCATTGATAATTTACGTATCGTTGGAGAGATTTTGGATGGGTTTTTTGATTTTTCTTCCACATCTATTAAATCGACGATATGTGTGTGTTTATATTTTATTTTTGTGTTTATATTTTATTTTTTTGTGTTTATATTTTATTTTTGTGTGTTTACATTTTATTTTGTTATAAAAAAATGTACAACATTCTTGTTTTCTACTCAACTCTTACAATTGCGTATAATTGCTTCAAAATAGCTTACATTGGACATTCATTCTTATATCATGACTGACACTAATTTGGGCCACGTCCAGTTGTACTATATCGGCGGTCCCTTGACCAACTTACCTTGACCCTCCGATGCGAGTATAAAACATAGCATTTTGTGTTTTATCCTTTTGATAATAGAATAGAATATTCAATTATATGGGTTTTTGCCACCGGATTCTATCGTTTCGATTTTGATATTGTTGCAATTCTATTTGTATATTTTGTTCCTAATTAAATAAATATTACGTTTTGCAATGTCTATTTGCGTACATAAATCTATGGTATATGCATTATATATACATTATGTATTAACGAAACGTGTGTGCTATTATATAATAATCGATATTTATGTATTTTTTTAATATACATAAAAAATAAAGAACATTGTGTGACATATAATTTTTCTTTGTTGACGGAATGTTTAATGTTTACGATGACATATAATGATTTATCGTATCGATTCTTTTATCACTCTTTTCTAATTTCATTCTTCAGTTCAAAAGATTCAGAGAAATTCAAAGAATTATGTTCAACTCGACTGATTTTGTTGAAATTTTGTACACAGATAGGTTATGACGTGGAGTAACACATAAGCTACTGTTAGGTTCTAAGCGTGAATAAGCCTAGAATATACTGGCACAGTCGTAGGATATTACTGAAATATTAAAAGAGTATTAAAAGTTACATCCCAGTTTAACAAATGAGTCGACCGACATTCCTTACATTTAACGAACACTACGTAGCCACAGTGAATGCGAGTGGACAATCAAATACCTATTTATATAGTACATAGTAATGATTTTGTCATCGATTTAATCAATACTAATATTATAAATGTTTTAATGCGTTTGTTTGTTTCGCCTTTCGTACACCGAAGGGTCGGTGTGATTTTCAAATATTGATATATAATTATTGGTAGGGGAACTGACAGACTGCTTTTAATTTTGGAACAACAATAAGAGAAATATTTTTATATTGTAAAGAATGCCTAGATATCGCAGAGTGTATTGGTATAATATTTAT